GCAGATATGGGAGTTTCCGAAATTAAGGGGTACCTCATTTGGGGGCCCTTATAATAGGGTTTAGGGTTTTAGGGTTTAGGGTTTAGGGTTTAGGGTTTGGGGTTTAGGGTTTAGGGTTTCCAGAAATAAGGGGTACCTCATCTTCTTGGGGGTCCTATATAATAGGGATCCTACTATTTAGGGTACTATATTAGGGTCCCCTATTTTCGGCAACCCCCATATGGCGCAACTTGGGCCGTTGTGATCGGCTTGTTGATCTGGCGCCTTGAAGATCCCTGACGGACGAAATGAACCCTAAGCGGGTTTAAGGTTGATATACCATAACAAGGATTCATAGTATAAGGGTATAGGGCCCCTAATTTTAAGGGTCTTTTGGTCCTTGTAAGGTCCGTCCAACCTACCAACTCCTGAGGACGCTGTTCCGTGCAGTCAAGGCTCCTCGTAGTAAACAAATCCGACAAAACTCGCGCAAGAACCGCCGACACTAAGGATCGTGCCATACCCTTCATTCTTCCATGCCCCTTCCTTGCAAACACACCAGTAGCACTCGTTAAAAAAACACAGCGCAGTCGCAGCAGCGACAGCAGTGGCAGCAAGAGCAGGAAGGCAGGACAGTAAGCAGCTGAAAAGCCAGCCGTGGCTGTGTGCACGCTGCAGCCTCGGTCACCCAGATTGTCAGAAGGGCCTTGCATGCGCGCCTACCACTGCTTTCCGTGTTTGCAGCTTCATTTGTTGGGTCAACTACTTGTTTCCGTATAAGTAGGCTCTGAGTCTTGGCACCTGACTTGGATACATCAACCCTCTGGGTTTGATAAGACGTAATTTGTATGAGCCCGGGTGTAGAGCTTCAAGCAAGGATGGTGATGGTGGGCTAGATCGAGCGAAGTGGATTCTGGCCCCTTGCGTGACAGTGCACCCTATGTGCAAATACATGACACATCTCCCAAGCCGATCGAACATAGATACTGAAACTCGAATGCCAAACCTCACGAGACACTCTGCCACACTCCCAAGCCTGAACCTATTCCCATGCTGCTCTGGTCGGGGGTTCAGGGTTTCAGGTTTGTGCTTTAGGGTTTGGGGTTCAGGGTGTAGGACCTGAGGGTTTTCGGGCTTAGGGTTCAGAGGTTTGGGTCTGGGTTTTAGGGTTTCGGGTTTAGGGTTTGAGGTTTGTGCTTTAGGGTTTAAGGTTTCGGGTTTGCTACGAGGCCTAGGGTTCGGGGTTCAAGGTTTGACTTAGGCCTTGTTCATGTGGCCAACCTCTATAAACCATACAACAGCCGTGAAACCCTTCGATATAGAACCCATTTTTCAAAACCTTCCTGAAACCCGCCCAACACCCAAACTCTCTGAACACTTAATGGCCCTAAACCCTAATTAACCCAATAAACCCTGAACCCTCTATAGCCCTGAGTCCTAAACACTCATAGCCCTGTACTACGCCCTCTTCGTAAGTTGCAGGCCTGCGCGGTCCCATGGGCCCCTGGGACAAGCTTTGGCAAATGTCTTGCTTCGCCGTTTGCCCCAAGAAAATTGGAAAGCAACCAAGGTTGTTTTTGGTTTAGGATCACCTTCTGTGATATATGTAATGGCCCTAACACTGGTAGTCTCCAACGATTTAAAGGCCACATTAGAGAATTACTTGTTGTTGCCACTATAGGCATGTGGACAGTAGGGGTTTGCGCCGCTGGTCTAGGTTTTGGGCAGTTTGGAGCCTGAAATTGTAAACGGCCAGAGTAGTTACGCAAGCAAGCCAGCTGAGACCCGCGATCGTTAAGACGGCAGTCAAAGGGTATCGGCACAAATATGTAGTAGCGATGATAAGCATACTGTGTCATTCGAATTCAGCATCAACAGCTCATTATACAAGAAGAATGCTGCATTGGCAGTCATGAAACAAAGAGCACACTGATGTGTCGGCGAGCTCCTCTGTTCCCAGCCTCTTGCTCCCCGAAACATTCGCTTTACAGCTTTGCCGTCAAATCCCAAACCCTGTACTAAGCCTTGGTCATAAAGCTAAAGTCCTATAGACCTTATACGCTCTAAAGCTCAGCCGACAATCTTAACCCGTATGCAATCCCTTAACTTTTCTCCAAATGCAGCCATTAAATCGAATAAAACCCTTTAACCCCCTATACTATACTCCAAACTCCATACCGATAACCCTAGAAATCTTAAGCCCGCTGAAAACCCGAAACCCTGGCGACCATAAGCCATGTAGAGCCGACCTTCAACCGAGCATCTCATACCGTAAGGGGACCCTAAACCCTAAACCCTAAACACCTAAACCCTAAACCCTAAACCCTAAACCCTTAAACCCTAAACCCTGAACCCCTAAACCCTAAACACTTAAACCCTAAACCCTAAATCCTAAACCCTAAACCTTGAACAAGAACTGCAGGCATGGGAAGCTGTCGCATGAACGATCTCGCGACTTGGCTCCTACTCTCAAGGTTTAGGGTTTAGGGTTTAGGGTTTAGGTCCCGAACCCTGAACCCCACCATCGGAGTCCCTAAGGGGTTCCTTTAAAGGTTGTTCAGGGTTCTATGCCGGGGTTCTCTAAGGCATGGATAAGGAGAAGATAAGGGGCCTGAGCTCCTTTTAAGGGTTTCTGTCATTTTGGGAAGGCTTTAGGGTTTAGGGTTTAGGGTTTAGGGTTTAGGGTTTTAACGTGGGCAGGGTGCTATAAGGGTTGCTGTGAAAGTCGGAATGACCCAAAATAATGTACTGCTATATGGCATGATGTGCCGCCAAACACGGCTCTCTTTGTTAAGGATCGTGAAGGCACCCTGGTGGTTTGTGTTTCACCGGTCGCATAGGGTGACTATGGAGGTTTCCACAAGGCTGAAGAGACCCTGTATGTGTTTGTTGATAATCCTTCCCAGGTTTTTGAATGTTGCCCCATAGACGGAATATAGGGCGAGCCAAAAGTTCATGGGGTTTTGTTCCCCTGGTCCCCAAAGTTAAGAGCTTAAAGGGATCAGCCCATGGTGTAGATTATAATCCGGGGCTCATGGCAGCCCATATGCCCACAGAATATAGAAGCTTGACTATAATGATATAGGCTTTCTGACTATAGCTACTATATAGTATGTCCCCAACACCCTGATCTAATGGTGAAAGCCTCCTCAATTCGAAGACCTTTCGGCCCGACTCCCTCAACATATGAGTCCTTACAGCCCAGCTTTGAGATACGGGCTAGGCTCTTGCTGTAAGGTGGCGCGGTTGAGGCTTCAGGGTTAAAATTGGGTTTTGGGTTTTAACTGGGTGGAGGTTTAGGGCCTACTTGTAGCCGAAAAGACCTAGCGTTTTAGGGTTCCTTATTATGATTTCTATATATATATATATATATAACTCCTTAAAAATACAAAGTAGGCCTGTTGGGACACAGGTAGGGCTAGGTTTTCAGAGGGGGGTCGGGGTTAGGGTTTAGTTTTTTACGGTTAAGGATTTGCATTTGCGAAGCAGCTGAGGTTGTTCTGCAAACAACCCAAGGCACATGCTGCATTTGAGGTATCATTCAGTTGCCTTTTGTACTGCTTGTTCTTATGTGCCGCTGTTGTGCTTGGGTTTTACCAATGAAGGGTGGCACGAGCGCTGCATACGTGCGCTTCCCGTGCACTATACTCCGAACAAAAACGTAACCAAAGCAGGAACTGCAATTGCGTACCCTTGTAGCGTCCGTGTAGACCGTGTTTGATTTGTGAGCAGCTACTGGACTGTTTTGGTTTGCGGCTTAGAACCCTACGAGTAACAGGAACCTGGAAATCCAAAACCCGAAACCGTAAATATAGACTGATACCGTGCTTTGAGGTTGTTAGGGCCAGGCTTTCTTAGTCAGATTCCTACAGTAGGGTTTCGGGCTTCAGGTCCGTCTGATAGTTTCTTCTGACACGAAGTTGGGAGCTTTGCACCAGGCTTTGTTCAGGGGGTTGTGTGTGTTTGGAGGCGTTATGGTTCAAACGACCTCGCGAAGATAAAAACTGCAAGCAACGCTCGTTCAAGTGTAGATGCTGATGCTACTAGTGACTAGTGTTAGCAAATAATCTTAATAATTAAACACCACAATACTAGCACTCACAATGGAAATGGTTTTAGTAATGGGAATTGGGGTGCGGCTGTAGGGCTTTGGTCTACAAGGGAGCACTTTTCAGCTCACGGGACAGTAAATGCTGATCCACGCTAAACCCTAAACCCTAAACCCTAAACCCTAAACCCTAAACCCGGTACACTTCCGGATCTCGAATTGCAGGTTTCGGGTCCCGTAGTCATCAGTATGGACTCCAGGCCCGATTAGTTTATCGCATAGCAGGAACCACGTGCTACAGAGAAGGACGATCTACTTTGGCCTTAAAGTAGTCCCTGTTTGGGTACGGACCCTTAGGAACCCTAAACCCTAAACCCTAAACCCTAAACCCTAAACCCTAAACCCTAAACCCTAAAAAACTTACGGGAAGTTAACCTTCAGAACCCACGGCTACCAGGTAAGAAGCCCTACCACTGCGACGCACCCCAAACCCTCAATCGGTTTAGGGTTTAGGGTTTAGGGTTTAGGGTTCGCAAAAATCTTCAGCCTTGAAGCCCGCAGCACACATTTACGCGGTGAAAGCCCTCAAGCCCTCAAACTTCGTACAAATCCCAGACCTTAAACCCTAAACCAGTTAAGTGTTCAGAGTTTAGGGCACAAAACCCGAAACCCTGAGCCCTAAACCCTAAATTTAGGGCGCTAAGCCCGAAACCCTGAACCCACGTTTCCTTTGCTTCGGAGGTGTCTGCGCATACCTCAAGGAGGTGGCTGATAGCGATGCCAAGCAGCGGGGGGTCTCTCGCTGTTGAACAGTATAGGGTTTAGGGTTTAGGGGTTTAGGGGTTTGGGGTGTAGGGGTTTAGGGTTTAGGGGTTTAGGGTTAGGGTCTAGGGTTTAGGGGTTTAGGGTTTAGGGGTTTTAGGGTTTAGGGCAGGGTTTAGGGGTTT